CTGCTTCTGGTACTTCAGGGACTTCATCAATATCAAAACCTGCTGTCATTCCAACTGACTCTACAAGCTCCCACTCAAGTATGTTCACAACTACTTGGACTGACTCAGCTGGTCTAACTTCTACTGGTATTGTTAGTGAATACCCAACTACTGGTACAGATGGTGTTGTTGGTACAGGTACTACTACTATCCCAATCACTGCTTCTGGCTCTTCATCACACTCAAGTATTTTCACAACTACTTGGACTGACTCAGCTGGTCTAACTTCTACTGGTATTGTTAGTGAATATCCAACTACTGGTACAGATGGTGTTGTTGGTACAGGTACTACTACTATTCCAATCACTGCTTCTGGCTCTTCAGCTAGTGGGTCATTATCATCCAGTTCAGGATCTTCAGTTCCATCTTCAAGTGGTTCTCTCAGTGCACCATATATGACTGGTTTCTTGCAGGATGGCCAACCACATTGGAATATAGTTGTTCCTGGTAGTTTGGGTCCATGGTCATCTGTTGAAGTTCACTCTACCAACGATGGCTCTCATTATGACTTAACTGACTTACAAATGTTAGTTGACGGTGTTGTCGTGTCAGGTCCATCTAATTTAACAAAGAACTCTTATGAGGCATCTTTTGAAGACATCATTGAACGCTCATCAAATTTGGTGTTCTCTGTTTTTGCTCAAGCCATTGCTGGTAAAAACTATACAAACAATGTTGAAGTTGCTATTAATACAATTGATGATAAAAAATTAGTTAAGAGGGCTGTTCTGAAGTTTTTGTTGTCTGCAACCATCACTACCGATGCTTCATCTATTGGTTCAAGCACTAGTGCTCCATCAAGTTCTGAAACCTTGTCATCTGGGTCAGCTTCTGGTGTTGCGTCAGATTCGGCATCAATCACTGGTGGTGGCTCTTTTAGCTCAAGTTCTACTGTTGGTGAGCAATCAACTACTGTGATTACTGTTACTTCATGCTCAGATGAGAAATGCTCTAGTGTTCCTATTACCACTGGTGTCACTGCTGTTACTTCCACGGTTGAAGGTATTGTTACCACGTATACTACATATTGTCCATTGACGTCTATTGAAGCTCCATCTACAACAGTTGTTACCATCACATCTTGTTCAAGTCATGTTTGCTCTAAGGTAACTGCAACCACTGGTGTCACTGTTGTTACTGAGACGAATGAAGGAACAGAAACTATCTATACTACATACTGTCCGATAAGCTCTATTGCCCCATCCCCAGAAAATCCAAGCTCGATGGGATCAACTGCTGCACTCGTTTCAACTACTGGTGGTGCTTCTAACGTTCCACAAGGTGGTAAACCTGAATCAGACGTTGGCTCTTCGCCTTCAAAGTCTGGTCCAAATGGTAATGCCCAATCTGGTTCTGTTGTATCACATGGAAACGTTGGTGCTTCCTCTAATACTGCTGCTACTGCTCCTGTTGGATCAAATTCTGGTACTGCTCCTGTTGTCGCTCAAGGTTCCCATAACTCAGGTGTTGCTATTGATTCCACTTCTACACAAACAGTTCTTGCCACTGCTACTGTATCAAATGGTCAAGTATCAGCTGGAAAGGGTTCCTCTTCTTCTGAAGTTGCTGCTGTCAATGGTGCCTCAACTGTAGGTGCATCGTCTACCAAGTTAAACCCAGAGGCAAGTACATATGAAGGTGCTGCTGGAAAGAACATGATGCTTTCTTCACTTGCCGGTGTGATGGCTTTCTTTATGCTTCTTGTTTGATATATTTATCTTGGTGTTTTGTTTTTTACGATCAAATGACTTCATTAGTTCGTTACACTCTATTTTCATTTTCTATTTCCCCTCTGATATTCTCTTTTTCTTTTTCTTTGAAGTGTCTTGTTCTCCTCTTGACTATATTGTTTGTCAAGATATCCAATCTTCTTTTTTCTTTTTATAAGTACCTGTTATCAATAATTTTGCGTTGATGTTTTTGTTAACTAAACACATTCTAATTTTATATATTTTTTCTGGCAAGCTATTACATTCTGCTTTTGCCTAATTATTAATAAATTATATTGTTTGAAATTTTTAATATTAAGATATTATATAAGCTGGAAGCCTGAGTTCCAACACAGCGAGAAGCCATATATATTATATACTATAATCGACCAAGCGGTTCGTGCGTAATTACATAATTAATCCTCATCCAAGTTCATTTAAATACATCAACTATAAAAAAAAAAAAAAAAAAATATATAATTATAAATAATATATCATAATTATATTTATAACGTCCGGCTTATAAATATATAATATAATGTCGCGTCGATCCCACGAGTTATATTATTAAGGCAGAAAATCGAAAATATTGAATTAGTTCTACATTGGTGGATATTGCCGGCGCCTAAAAAAACGCTACTTCCATATTGACCAACGGAAGTACTGTACATTGTGGGCAGACCACCAATCTACACTTCCTTCGGGGGTTTTCTTACATTGGGGAATGCGACACAAAGTTTGTTGTTGGTTCACATATATATAAGTAGTTATTCTGGTTATATTGTAATACTGATGCGTCAATATTCATCATATTGGTCGATTGAAAAATTCGCGAAATCTGGTGAAGGTTACAAGACCGTGCGACAATTGAAAGAACGTCGTCCAGCTCGCAATATTGATCCTGTCCTAATAACCACCATGAACACGCCTGCCCCGGTCCAGCTTGTGCCACAAGAAGTCGTGCAGGCTTACTTGGATCTGACGGCCCATAACTCACCGTTCAAGAACATTCCAAGATACGTTCCAACTGACATCAAGTATTCCGGTTATGGGTATTATAATCCTCCAATATCAGAAATACACCAAGTGGTACTCTTCCACTTGAAAGCTAAGGTCAACGGTACCGCAGATCACACTTTCAATTTCCTTGCAGCACAGCAGGCAAAGGAAAGTAAGGAAACTAAAGAAACTGATCCATTTACATTGAAATCACTTTCTGTTTGTCTCCCTATAGTACTTGATAAAAAATACATTGTGATTCGTCGTCAAGCCAAAGCAGAGGCAGCTGATATATTCACACCACAAGAAACAAAACAAGCTTTTATTCATCAAGATAATTTTTTCCAACAAACCAGATTCAAGAAAAATAACCTAGAGTTCAAACTATCGAAATACACCAGTTATGATCCTGAAAGTGTGTTAATACTAAGGATCAGATATCAAGTCTTGGAGCATTTGGACGAAAGTGTTATGCATATATTTGAACACATCAAAAAACCACATCCAATGAAGGTCATAAGACTTTTCGATTATCCTGAAACTATTTTCGACCATAATAAGGAAGAGTCAAATCCAACCCGTCAGTTTTTCGTCATTGCTAAAAGGCCTGCTGATCAGAAAGAAGTTCCAATTCCTGTAGAGTTCAAAGAGCCAAATGTTAGATGTATGGTTATTGATACCAGTGGTTGGAAGTAGATTTGGTCAAATTTGACATTGATTGACATTTCAAAAGTTCTTGACTTCTTAGAGAGACTCTACCTTATTCAAATCTGTCAAGCAAGAATAAAAATTATAGGTATCTCTATATCAATTTACAACAAAGCACTGGACATGATTTTGATTTTTGGTTCTGCGAAATTCAAGTCGAAAAAAAATACGTAGATAACGGATTTGATTCAAATTTTAACACACCTTTAAATCCTTCACACTAATAAAATCCAATTGGGATATGGGTAATTGTGATTTCTGACACCCGGGTCTCTTGGAAAGGGGTAATTGCTGGATCCAAATTGATGCACTTAATTATTGGTTGAATTGAGGTTTTGAGGTTGCCCCTTGTGGTTGGTGTAAACTTTATTCTGCACAATTGATCAATTGATTCAACGCTCAATGGATCTGAGTCCATTTATAGGTGATGGCAGGGGTAATTATGACCATTATAATGATTAGCATGCCTCAACGCTTCTGTTTTCGAGTGACTCAAAATTGAAAGTCTCCGTGTTTTGATCGTGTCTGATTTTTGCCTACAATTCTCCACTATCAAATGGCCATCACCATGATGTACAGGTGATTAAAAACACCATCATTTCTTGGATATACACCCAGATCACAAGTTACAGCTGGCAAATTGCTATATAGCTGAATCTCGATCGTTACAGGGTTACAGGATGAAGCCGTTGGTTTTGTTTCTAGGATATGATTTTATACGAAATATTTTGCTGTCCAAGTGCAATTACTTCAAAGGTTGATGTTCAATAAGCAGTTACTATACTTGGGGCAAGGATCTTGCTCACCTCGAATTAAATATGCTTCAAGTGGGTCAAAGTTAGTTGTTAATTCGGAACTTCATCCAGTCAGGGATCACACACACATTGTTTTTTGCGGTATGATATACGATAAGGCCATATCTGATACCCACCCGGCAAAACAATCATCTATTGGTTAAATAAAAGGGTGATTTTAAGAGCAGCTAATATTTATATATCACAATGGACTATAAAAGAGTCAATAAATTCCACTTTTTTCAACTCTTTTACAATGATTTCTTGTCATCAACACATCTCAACAACTGTCTGATAATGAAATTCTCCACTGCTCTTATTGCTTCCTCTTTAGCCATACTAGCTTATGCTAAGCCAATTGCTGATGCTCTTCCATGGGCTCAAGCCAATCCACAAGCTGCTGCTGCTGCCCAAGCCTATGCTGATGCCTATGCTGAAGCTATTGCCATTGCTCATCCAGATCCAGAAGCCTATGCTTTAGCTGCATCTGCTGATGATTGTGCGGATGTTACTTGTCATATGAACTGTGGTATGATGATTATTGCTGGTCAAGCTTGTTCAGAAAACGAAAATGATAACTACTCTGGTCCTTATACCCCAGGTTGTTTGTGTGATGATGCTAAAGATACCAATTTCCAAAAATACTATGACGCTTGTATGAATTGCGGTTGGACATTATGGAAATACTATAGCCCATATTTAGAGCCAGCCTTAAAAGATTGTCATGCATCTTACCCATCCATTTCAACTGAACCAACAGGTACTTCAAGATGTTCAACAACTTTGACAAACTCTTACACCAAAGAAACTGATATCAATTATTCAAGCTTCATCTGAGCAATCAGTACATTACAGCTTGGAATTTATTCTCTTTATATTGCTAGTTTTTACATATGAATCAAGAACCAATTTGAATTGAATGGTAAAAACTTAGAGTCACTCGTAGACTATAAATCTTTGATCTCGATTCTCGATCTCTTGTCGGAGATTGTTTTGATAAGCGTTAAATCCGTGATTAGATAATTTTAAGATTACGTAACTAAATTGAAAAAAAAATTTATGTACGAATCCGATGTAACATTTCAACTTGAGAATCAAAAGATTCCCATAACTCCAAGAATAATCGACAGAATATTCAATTATAATGGGTAAAAGACTTAAATCAAAACCAGGCAAAGCTTCAGGAAAATCACTGAAGGCTGCTTTAGTGCGTCACCAACTAGTTGGTAAACCAAAAACAACGTCAGCTACAACAACATCAACAAAACCAGAGGAATCAAAGAAACCTAAATCATCTCAACAAACAGAACAGTCCAACAAGACATTCATTCCATTTACCAAAACTGATACTGTTCTGCTTGTAGGAGAAGGTGACCTCTCATTTGCTGTTAGCTGTATCAAGTCAGGATATGTAGATCCTACAAAATTGATTGTTACAAGTTATGATGCTTCACCAACTGAATTGATTCATAAATATCCAAAAACTTTTCCCCAAAATAATGAATTTCTGAAAAAAGAAGGGATAGAAGTGATGTATAAAGTTGATGCAACAGATTTGATAAGGTCCATGAAAGTTAAAAAGACCAAAATTTTCCCTAAAGTTGATTTCATCGTGTTCAATTTCCCACACACGGGACGTGGTATGAAAGATATGGATAGAAATATCAGAGATCATCAGCTATTAGTTCTTGGCTATTTTAAATCTAGTATAGAATTATTTGGAAATTTGGAGAAGAAAAATACCAAACCAAGTGATTTGAATGTTATGGGTAAAGAAGAAAAAGAACCAAAGATTGTATTGTCAGTTTTCGAAGGTGAACCATATGATTCATGGAATATAAAATCACTTTCAAAGACACTTGGATTAAAAGTGGAAAGAAGTGGGAAGTTTCAATGGGGTGCTTTCGAAGGATACGAACATAAAAGAACAAATAGTGAACAAAACACAACTAAAGTTGCAAGTGAAAGAAATGCTAAGATATATGTCTTTGAAAAGTTTAAAAAACAGCAGAAGAAGAAAGTTGCTGAAGATAGTGATGAAGAATAAGCTGTATACAAAGAACATGAGTGATCAATGAGTATTTAAATGTATTTGTAGTCATCAAGACCACTTCTATTTTCCTGATGTATCGAAGGCCAAAGTAAAGTCATGTACAATCATTTCCTGCAAAAAAAAATTTATATCCAATATGTATCAACTTTTCTGATGTTTTTTTTTCATTTTTCTGTTCATGTACTTGAAAATATTAAAACTTTCTTGATCCCTTTGATAAAAACTCTATATATAAAAATCTGATAATGTTAAATGTAATAAGTTAAGAATTGTGAAGAATAATAATAAAAACTATAATAATAATAAAAACAATAATATATTAGTTAGTCATGATATAATTTAAGCAGTAGCAGCTAATTCATCGATAACTGCTTTGGTAAATTCTTGAGTTGAAGCATTACCACCAATATCTTTAGTAGTGTTTTTACCTTCTTGGATAACTTTGTAAACAGCTTTTGAAATTCTATCAGCACTTGAATCTAAACCTAAATGTCTTAATAATAAAGCTGATGATAAAATCATAGCAGTTGGGTTAGCAACACCTTTACCTTGGATGTCTAAACCAACGTGTCTTGAACCTGGTTCGAAAACAGCGTATTCTCTACCGTAGTTGGCACCTGGAACTAAACCTGGACCACCAACTAAAGCAGTACCAATGTTTGATAAAATAGCACCATATAAGTTTGGAGTGACTAAAACATCAAATTGTTGTGGGTTTGAAACAGCTTGCATAGAAGCGTTATCAACAATGATATCTTTAACATTGATGTCTGGGTATTGTTCAGCACCGATAGTTTTAACAGTTGATCTGAATAAACCATCAGCCAATTTCATAATGTTAGCTTTATGAACAGCAGTAACTTCTTTTCTGTTGTTTTTTTTAGCAAAATCAAAAGCAAATTTAGCAATTCTTTCTGATTTGAATTGAGTGATGATTTTCAATGATTCGACAACACCTGGAACAGATTCATGTTCTAAACCTGAATATTCACCTTCAGTGTTTTCTCTGATTAAAACTAAATCAATACCATCTAATCTAGTTTTAACACCTGGGATGTTTTTAATCAAAGTTAAAGAAGCATAGATATCTAATTCTTTTCTGAAGGCAACGTTCAATGAACCGTGACCAGATTGGGTAGCATCAGTTTTCCAGATACCTTTTAAACCAACTTTGTTTCTTTTCAATGATTCAACAGCTTCTCTGACACCTTCCTTTGAACCTTCTTTACCGGTAACATTGATTGTTTCCCAGTCAATTGGTAAGTTTTCCTTTTTGAAGATTTCAACAACAGAATCAGTGATTTCTTTACCAATACCATCACCTGGAATCAAAGTGACAGTGTAACGACCACCGTATTTCTTTGGCAATAGGGAGTCAGAAACCGCGGTAGCGAATGTTCTTCTTGATTGAGATTTGAAACCGGCTCTTAGCATTGTGATGATGATGAAGATGTGTGAAGAGTTGTGGGATGTTCCTGACGTGTTTTGTAAAGGTGTTTTGAAGATTGTGTTTAAGGATTTTTTGATTTTGGTTTTTCAGTTTTTCGATTTCTCGAGATCGCATCGGAACCGATTTCTTAAAGCGCTATTTGCCCGTTAGGAAAATGGCAGTAGTGCTTATGTAATATCGAAACACTCACGTGATAATTCTTTAGTGGCACGCGGATCTGCCATTGTTTTATTTTGATAACATCTTGAAAGCTAATCATATCAGTGTCAACATCAGAGTCTATAACCAAGTTCTGGCTATGCCACCATTCAGGCAAAAGAGAAACCCAAGCTCACAGAAGCCTAAGAGAGTCAGTAAAGCATGCACGAGTTGCAAAAGAAGGAAAATCAAGTGTAATGGTGAAAACCCTTGCATCAATTGTATAAATTACAATTGTTCATGTACATACCCTGGTCAACGTCTTCTCCCTCCATCAGCGTCATCATCAGCGCAGTCCTTGACTAGCACATCATTAGGATCAAAGATCAAAAAAATAACAGAAGCTATTCAAAATCTGAAAGAAACTGATCCTAGAGTATCAAATATGATTGACCAATTAGAAAAACTCTTGGATGAAACAGAGTCTCTCAGGAACGGTGATTCAACATCTACTAGCAGCAGCTTGCTTTCAAGAGAATCAGACTTTACCAACGATGCTTTACATACCCGATTTTCCAATTATTGTACTGGTAGCAAAATTATAGATGAATATTTCGGGGCGAATTCACTGTACCTGCTACTGTCAAATGGTGGAAGGCAATGGTATATTGAAACATGTACAGGATTTGATCCCTCTTTCAAAAAGACACTTTCTGAATCTTTGTTGAATGTTTTCTTCTTTATTGATATGGTGGTTGATGAGAAATCTGGTGTCTGGGTGAATGTTACATCTACTGAAGAGCTAGAGAATCTACTAGAAATTGATTTTATTGAGGAAGCTTATATTGAAAGCCTTATTGATAGCCATTATGAAGAAATTTCACAATTTCAGTATCAAAATTTTAAGTCTCAACAAGAAATCAAATTGATTAGCAAAGAAATTTTCAAATACAAAAAACATTTATTAGAAGATACAAGTTGTCTTTTCTTTTTGAGCTTCTTATTAGAATGTTCCTCATTAGAATATTCCAAAGCAATATCCTCTGATGATTTAGATGATTCAATAAAAATCAAGCTGTTTTTGAGAAGTCTAATTAAGTATTGTGTTCATTTGATTAGAGCTATATTCTTCTCCAATAATAAAGTTGAGGACCTTGAAGGAATGTTATTATTTTTGAAATTTTCAGACTCAAAGTACATTGACACATACCTATCATCTTTGCTAGATTATTCAATTCATGTTGTGAAAGAATTGGGGCTACACAAGATGGAATACTATGTTGGACTTTCAGAAGAAAAAGCAGAATTAAGAAGGGAACTATTTTGGGAGTTTTACAACCTTGAAAAAAAGCAATGCCTTTTAACTGGTCAGAGATCCTTGTTTGATGATGAAGAGATTACATGTTTCTATCCTAATGGAATTCATGAAATAGCAGAGAAGGCCAACACTGGAAGTGGTATAGATCTCACTGGAGATAATGTTACAGACTACATCAGGTATTATGAGATTGAATTCTACAGATTTGTGCACCAGGTCCAAAATATTCTAGGGAAAGGAAGAATACAATTAAGTTCAATTTCAAGTATGTTGGAAGAGTTAAAAATGTTGAAAGGCTCTATTGATCCAGCTATAAGGCCAGGAAATAAAATTTTGGATGAAAACCCATTAGAACTCAATCAATTCCAAGTTTTGAAAGTTCAAAAACTCCATGTTCAGTACAACACTATTTACTTTTTCATCATTTCTAGCTTCACAAGTACAAAGCTGCATGCTCTATACGATGAATCTGGTCTAGAGTGTTGCTTCAATATTCTTGAAACAATTTTTGAGACAAAAGTTTGTGACTTTACTCCAGTTAATGCACTTACCAAGAATGGAATAATAGCTTTTCTTTATATGATTGAGTCGTTCTTGAGAAACCCAAAGCAGACTAAAAGCACACAGATAATGCGATATCTTATCAAGTTTCAATTTAGAATGGTTGAAGGATCATCTTCTTACCATTCCATGTTTTGGAGAATCACGAACGTGATTGCCAATTATATGCTTGAACCTTGTGTTAGTATATATCTTAGTGTGAAGGGGTCATCAGTTCCAGCATCATTGGGATTACAAATTCGTGATTACCATGATAGGCTTGCCAAATTTAAAGATGTGATCAGTTCTTATAGAAATCAGCAGTCTGGAATTGACCTTAATGCTGATGAACGTGCTTTCTCAGATTTGATTGCACCTATTCAGGACCTGACAAGTGGTAAGAAATTGCTCTTCGTTGATTCAGAAGCTTCAGATTCACCAGAAAGTTAATAAAATCGAGCCAATTATTCGAAAGATAAAAGACGTAATTTATAATTTTTTTCACTGTTCCGTGGAACATCCTCCGTGGAAAATTGCGGCTTACAAATTCCGCTGGTTTTTTATCAGCCTGACTTCGAGGAGTCGAGCGTTGAAAAATGAGATTGTCAACTATAAAATGAAGTCTAAATCCCACAATGGCATTGTATTGAATTAAATAAAAAGTCAGAACTTATTATTGATATGGCACCAACTAGCACAGGACCTTTACTACGAGACCCATTGGGCAAAATAACAGAACCAGTCATCGTTGAGCTTAAGGATGGCTCAACGGGAACCATATACCCAATATACTCTGTGGATGATGTTCCAGAATCATTATTGAGATTCATGCACAAAGAAATGAATGATGAGATCGAAAGAGGTAACACATATCCTATCTATGATATCTTTTCTCAAAAAGACTTTGCTGATTATTGGTTTTTTTCATTTGTTGCAATCATGATTAAAGGCGAGAACCCCGGCTTACAAGAAGATACCAATTGGGAAAGTGAGTTTTTGGGGACTTATTACGTTAAGCCAAATTATCCAGGCCGTTGTTCTCATATCTGTAATGCAGGGTTTGTCGTGAATCCACGCATTAGAGGTCAAAGCATAGGAACAACACTTGGTAAAAATTATTTGAATTGGGCACCAATTTTAGGATACACTTACTCTGTTTTTAACTTAGTTTTTGAGACCAATGTTGCTAGCTCAAAGATATGGGATAACTTGGGATTCGAGAGGATTGGTTATGTTAAAAAAGCTGCAGTGTTGAAAGGTTATGACGAACCAATTGGTGTAATCATTTATGGGAAGGATCTTGTATGAAAAATATTGGGATAACCATTCACTAGAAAGTTGAGAAGACCAAGTATGTATAACATCTGAATCCAAGTTATATATAACTTGGATATACAGCTAGCTGATCACACCTTTCTCAGCATCAACCAGCATATCATGTACAAATAAGCCCCCTACTAGAATATAAATACATTTCCTCATAAAGACCTAGCTTAATTTGTTTTGTGTATTAATCAATAATAAAGCTGACTCATAGATGCTAATTAACTCATAGACCAGCATATTCTATATTCAGCATCAGCATCATGACAGCTAGCCCACGTCGACTTGAGTATATAATCATAAACGAGAATAACGCAAGTAGCAGCTACGCAATATTATAACCAACTTACACTGGTAGAGAACACGGAGAGAATAAAGAAAGTATAGAACTGATTACAAGTATCAGATAAGAATAGTTGATCAACTACGATGCCATAAACCTTTATGGTACCAAGATGTAAAGGAAAAGAGTAAATCCCCCAGATCCCACACAATCAAAATGATTGAAAGCCCCCAGTACCCATACTCCAATTGAAAAAGTCTCCTGGTCCCACAAATAACTAATATAATCAAATTCCCCTATACCCATGAGATTAATAATAGTAAGAATAGCAGATCCCAAAGCAAAGACGAATAAATCAACCATTCGCAAAAGTTTGAAACATAAGTTTGAAGTAAGTCCAAAGGGCAACCAAATGGGGAAACAGTAACCAAGAGCAAAAGTGTCAACAGTGGAACAATCCAAAGACAAAATGTTAGTAAATGAATAATTCAATGACTGAATAATAAATAAGAAAACAAGAGTAATTGATGATACCAATAAAAGAAAAGGTGAAAGTGAATAGCCTGGCAACGAAACAAAAGAATATCATTGGAGTGACCCAAAGATGAGTTGTAAAAGAATCCAAGTAAATCGGGATCTGACTTTCTTTTAAAGTTTTTCAAATAATTCAGTTTAAGCACAAAACACAAAACCCAAAGTAGCCACAAAACACAAACACCATAGTAATTGAATTTCTCACCTAAGGAAACCACAAAAACGATGAAGACAATAGATGATTCATCATCAACAGTCTACAAGCCCACTTTCTAGAAACAAAAGGAATACCATATTCACCAGGTTCCACCCTTTCCCCTTTTCAATAAAAAGAGATCCATTACCGGCCTTCCAAACCAAGAGTTGACGGTTGTTTATTCGAAACGTTGTAACGAATTCAAGAATTCGCGAAATTGTTCGCGAAGCCGCGAATTCGATCTGTAACTAGTTTTTTTTTCCAAAAAGATCAAAGACGAAGAACTGCGTGAACTACTATGAACAAATCAATAAAGACAACGCAATCAACCATGACAGCTGCTGCTACTGCTTACAAAAGCCTTTACGATCAACTCCTCATAAACACCAAAGCTGCTGTCAAGAAGCAAAATGCACAGACTTTGAAAAAAACATTAGCATTGTTGAATTACCAAAGACTAAATGCCATCAAGAGTAAAGAAGCTGATAAATTGATCCAAATAAACAAGGACATCAAAAAGGCAAATAAAGAAACTGAGGATCCACAAGTAGAAGTTGACTCCATACTACTTGAAGGGTTGAAAGTCACAAAAGAAACACCAAAAAACATTAAACATATTCAAGATATTGCAAATTTTCTATCATATCAACGCACTTACCAAGAATTGATTGAAAGATATAATCCTGGTTTGACAATGACTCAAGAGGATAAAGTTAGAAGAACAGCCAATAGAGTCGGTTTAGATCTACCAGAGGATCTTAAATAGATTACAATCATTGTACATAAATTATACAGTCATTAATGAAACAAATAAAAAAACGAAAAACAGGTACAAAAAAAAACAGAATAACATATTGTAAGAAATCATAACTTCATCGGTCTGAGGATAAGAAAAATCTTTTTAGCTTGCTCACGTCTTGATCACTCAGATCGCTTGATTCATTCTCACTATCAGTCCATTTAGTAGAAGAAGTTGGAATCAATGGGATCTTTGGAACAAATTCATCAGCTCTATCAGGTTCACTCCTTATTGGGATAAGTTTAATTCCTGATAGTTTGAAGTTTTCATTAGTTTGATGAATGTTCTCTTTCCGTGTTTCAGAGCTGGACCTTGATTCATCTGAGAAATCAGAGAATGAATTTGAAGATTTATTTTTTCCATCCTTTTTTGCCCTTGAGACATCATGAAGTATTGGACTCGAAGGATAATCTGGATAAACCTTTTCTTCATCTTCACCAAATTCAAAGTCATCATCTTGATAAACAACTCTGTTCTGATTATCAGTTGGAACATCAGACTCCTCTTTCATATAACGATCTTCTGTTGGAGTGAAAAATGCTTCAGAATCTGAGCTTGAATCTAACTCTTTGGATACTTCCTGTTTCAATTTCGGGATATTTTGAGGACTCGTTTGATGTTGCTGAAATTCACTTTCAAAATCTTCAAAATCCTGATAAACTGGTTCAAATGTAGCTGATTTACCTTTTTGAGTGCTGTCTGTAAATTCAGCAATTTCTTCCTGAGTTAGGAGTCTACCACCATCATCTTCACTATCATCTCCTTGTCCACCTTCTTTCTCATAGTAACCTTTATGTTTTTCTGCTTCATCAAGTCCATCATCCCCAAGATATCCTTCATCTTCTGAATATCCCTCTAAAGGTGAACTTGATAGATTGAATTTATTGCTGATGCTTTTCCACAAGAAATTGCCAGAAAAAAACGATGGTTTAGCTGGGCTTTCTGGAACAGTAGGTTCAAGAGTTTGATTATTCAAAGGAACACCTTCAGTTAGATTCTCAAGCGATTCTTTAGGCAAATTGGAGTTTGATGAGTGCGGTGCTGCTGGAAGACTTGATTCCCAGGTACTGATAATCTCTGAAAGGCTTGATTCCTGTGAACTGACAATCTCTGAAAGACTTGATTCTGGTGAGCTGACAATCTCTGAAAGGCTTGAGCTCAACAATCCAGGTGATTTTGAAACCTCTCGTACCAAAGTATCATGAGAGTTTGTTTGGTTATTACCAACATCATTGCCCCTTGCCTTCTTTTTATTTTTAATCGAACTTAATCTTGATGTTATCCTTCTTTTCTTTTTGATCTGTTTGTGCTGCTTCTTTTCATTAGCTATCACTTCAGCTTTTGTAAGTTCACCCAACGTAGTTGGTTTAGGTCTTTCGAATGTGTCTATGCTAGTGAATTTCTTAAAATTCTCTGAAACTGCCAAATAATGCCTAACAGGTTTTCCCGAAGTGGTCACAGTATCCACTTTATAATAACCCTCATAGACTGCTATATCTGATTCATTATGTTGAGCTCCCTGGCAACTAGCCAGATGTTTTTTCATGCGACGTAGATGCCTCTGGGTCCATGCAACCTTCTCACATGAATGACAAACATATAATAATAAAGGTTCCTCCTTGCAATACTCAAGTTTCTTGTTTATAATCATAGTATTGTGTTCACCATTGTCAGCTTTGTAGTAATTGGGAGTATCTATTTGTGACGCAAATGTTTCAATTGCTTTATAAATTTCATCAATCTGATCTCCCAGTTCTTTTCTTCTTTTCAGAACAGCATATACCTCATTTGTGAAAGGGTTCAGCAGTTTTCCAGAGTCTTTATCAATGATAAGATTCTCCTTTTTCTTAATTATGAGGAACCCGCCAATAATTACGTCAACAGCACTATCATTGACTAGTGAGATATTCATACCAGGTGAAGTCTCATGAGCTTTATTGTCCATATCATGTTTAATACAGAAAAACTGCATTCTCCCTTTTGTTTTATAGCAATACCCTTGAAATTTATGATATCTTTCCTTCGCAGGTTGTGAGTTAGTCTTCTTCAAGCACTCTAAAGAATGACCTGATGGTCTTGTCAAAGAACCTCCGAATGATAAACAATTGGTACAAACATATATTGGATCATCTGAAATCTTGAGGTTTTTGATTTCATGATCAACAAATCTCACATTGGCCCCGTTTTTGGGTAAAATATAAGGGTCTGATGATTCTTTTCTTTTTAAACATTTCTTTAAAGCTCTCACCATTGGAAAATAGTAAGGGTCTTCTTCACCTTCTTTCAACAAGGTTGCGATCTCTTTTTCTGTAAGGATTTTGGGTCTTTTGGAATCTAGTGGTTCGATGAAAACATGGGTCTCCTCATCAAAGACGAAGCAATCTGTGACAATGGTTTGGTTATCCTTGGTCTTTTGTTTGGTGTTAGTTCATTTGATAAAAGAGCAAAAGCATCGTGAAATACTCACATAAACCCGAGGACCACGATCGTATGAGTCTTTCGACATTTATGAGTTCATGAAATAGCCAGATACAATTGAGTTGAAATTCATTAAATTAGAAACCGTTTCAAAAAGGGGATTTGTTCCAGGTTGTGTCTATTGTTTTTTTTTTATCAGGCTGCTGCCATGATAATACGTGTCAGTAAACCTACAATAAACGGTTAAGTACCTGAATTAATTAAAAACTAAATCATCTTTCACTTTTTTTGCTTCTTCAAAAGCTTATCTATGGCCCCTGATGAAGCTTTAGCATCTTTTCTCTTTTTAGTTTCGACCTTCTTGTCGTATTTGTCCAATTGTTCTTTTCTTTCTTTGGCTCCCAATTTTTGTAGCTCTTCGTTTTGATCTAAAACTTCTTGATCATCAACAGATTTTCCAGTTAAACTTTCTAAAAGTCTGTGAAAGAATGTTAGTAGATACTCGCTGAAATATAAAGTCAATACTCACTTGATCTCATCACCCCATATTGACTCATCTTTGCCCACTGGGGTTTCAAGGACAATTGGTAATCCTTCTAATCTCTTAGAATTTGCGATAGCTCTAAATATTTCCAGTCCTAAAAACCCATAACCTAACCTCTGATGAAGATCTCTATTAGCACCCAGTGGAGCTTTTGAATCATTTAAGTGGATGGCTGATAAATATTGAGCCCCAACAACTTCGTCAAATTCATCTAAAAATTTATTGAATAATTCTTCGGTACGAATGTCATATCCAGCTGCAAATGTATGACAAGTATCAATACAAACACCAACACGTTCCTTTTTCTCCACCAAATCAAGAACATCTTTTAAATCTTTCAAGTTTGAACCAATTAAATTCCCATGACCTGCCATATTTTCAATAACAATCTTTACGAAACTAGTTTCTTCAATTGCTCTATTTATATTTTTGGCCAATTTTTTGATAGCATCCCCATGATCACCATCGAGACTTGAACCTGGGTGGAAGTTGTATAGACCAATACCCAATTGCTCGCATCTTTTCAAATCATCAATGAAACCACCATATGCCTTATCTTCCTTTTCTTTGTCTGGGTTTGCAAGGTTGATGAAATATGACCCATGGGGCAAAATGTCACTTTCGTTTGTTAGGAAATTGAGGTTACATGAGATCATAAGCTTGATACATACGTTTTTGGGTCATAACCATGTTCCTCACATAATCTTTTGAACTCAGAAGCTTCTTTTTCAGTTATTGCTGGTGATTCCCATTTTCTAGGACTTTTCAAAAATAAAGCAAAACTATTAGCTCTTTGGAATGGGCATTAGTACAATAACTGGAGTTTCATAATTGAATTACATACCCGATATTTCTAGCATTCAAAACAGAGTTGGAAACACCTATTCATTATTAGTTTTTTAGTTCAATTGAGCTCCATTGTCCTTTACTCACCACCTGAAGCTCCGACGTGTGCTCCGAATTTGTACTTTAGTCCAGCGACTTTGGTGAATTTAAAGCTTTTTGGTAAATCTTTTTTACTAAAATATATGTCAGCAGTTTATTCTATCATCAACCATCCTTTGAATTCAACTCACGGTGGCATTTTAGATCTCTGATACGATATTGTCATTCAATGATCCATATCCAAAAGTTCGTTCGATAACTTTTTTTTGACCTGGGCCATCGCGAACGCGTCTTGCTCGAAAAACATCTACGTTCTGAACTCTGGAAAAACACGTATAAACATTTATTAGTTGCGTTCATTTTCTCTTTGTCTTTTTGTTCTTCTTTTTAGCTGCCTCTTCAGCTGCTCTTTTCTTCTTGGCTGCTGCTAATTGTTCTGGTGTCTTTGGTGCTACTTTGAAGAACCCATCTAATCTACCTTGGGTACCAGTTTTTAGACCTTTTTGTAATCTTTTAATACCAGTTCTGATACGATCTTCAGAGAACCCCTTTTCCACAACCATGTACTTGATTAGCCCTTCTTCATTTGGTTCTTTCCATTTCAATTCAATATCTTTTGGATCCAAAACATCAGGATTCAAAAATAATTCTCTTGCTCCTTCATATGGCCATTCTTCGGGCACTTTATATTTAGAATCAGGGTTTGACTCAACATGTTTTATGACACCTTCAATTGTACCGTGCTCTTTGATCAATTTTAAAGCTGTAACTGGACCAACACCTTTGATTGAATCACAATAATCACAACCTAATAAGATACATAAATCAACAAATTGTTTTTGGTCCATATCCAAGCCTTCCAATACTTTTTCAATATCAATTTCTTGAATTGGTTCCTTACGTTGTTCACTAAAAGTTAGATGACGTAGTAAGAAAGGTGTTTTATAACATAAAGTATCCATATCTTCAGAAGCAGCAGCGTAAACTTTACCAGCTTTAGCTAGAACAGCACATTGAGCTTCAGCTTCACAAGGAGCATTAACATAAGGTATACCCATCAACTCAAGCAATTTTTTAGCTTCTTCATTTTGTTCTCTTGTAACTCTAACTGTTCTTCTTTCAAATTTTGCAATCTCTTCAGCTGTACCAGTTTCTCTAATTGCATCTGCACTCTTGGTAGCTTCATCTCTACGAGCAAGACGTTTGTCTAATTCGCTCCCTTTCAAAATTGGTGGTTTACCATCAAAAACATAAACTGGTTTAATTGAATAATCAATCATACGTAAAGTTCTGTAAAACATACCCATCAAATGAGAAGTAGTTTCACCATCTTCACTGGTCAATTGTTGACCATCTTGTTGTCTAACAGCAATCAAGAATTGGTATAAACACATAGAAGCATCCTTTGAGGGTTAGTAAAAGATTGAATCTTAAGAATGTAATTCTACTTACAATGGCAACTTTTCTACCAAAGAAAGTTTTAATATCACTTGATCTTGAAGCAAGTGGAGCTTGTTCAGTAAGCAGCTTGTTTAACCCTGTAGAGCTGTCAGTACTGACACAATCAAGTTCATCAATATATTTACATACCTTTAATACCCATGATCACACACGAATTGGCTTAACTACTCGAACTCTTCAACAAGTTGAAATGTTTTCTTTTGAAGACGCGTCTGGAAATATTTCATATCATCGTGATTTCGCGAAACTTGTTCTTGACAGCATTTTTTGGCTGGGAAATTTCAATTTTAGGTACTAAAAACTGCAATACGCATTTTTAAAGAAGTAAGAAAGCTCGTACAATTATACTATATTGTTCTTTCCTAATAATCACTGTTTCAGTCTCCCAACTATTCATTTGACCATGTAACGTCTTGAAACTTCATCTACATATTACCCTCTCTTGATATTTCAGTGCTGGGCTTACATAACACAGGCCAAAAAATCAAAGAAATAAAAAAAAAAACGAACCTGCTGATATAAACACTGAAGTCAAAACAAAATTGCACCAAGTCAAACACTGATCTGATCAATTGATCACATTTTCACTCTCAAGTCATCATGTTCGGACGCTCAAACACTAGCACGGGCTTTGGAGGGTTTGGATCCAACACAGGGTCTGCGTTCGGCTCAAATAACAACAACAACACTGGATCAGCATTCGGGGCTAGTTCCTCACCATCATCAAATACTGGTGGTGGTATCTTTGGAAACGCTAATAACTCTGGTAATACATCTTCATTTGGTGGGTTCGGTGCTAACAACAATTCTACAAGTGCATTCGGAGCCAAACCTGCTGCTACTGGTGGTTTGTTTGGTAGTAGTACCAACACAAACTCAACATCTCCTTTTGGTGCTAGCAATACAAATACAGGATCAACTGGATTTGGTTCAGCTTTTGGATCGAATAACAATACAGCAACAAATACAGGAGGTGGATTATTTGGATCATCAAATACAGGTGCAACTGGTGGTTTCGGTGGTTCAACAGGTGGCTTTGGTTCCACTGCCCAGACTGGTTCACCTTTTGGTGGTGGTGCAACCAATTCAACTTTTGGTGGGTTGGGTGGAGCTGCCACAACTAATCAAGGTACTGCTGTCAAACCTTTTGAACCATTTACAGAAAAAGATGCCACTTCTGGTACCAATTTTTTCGAAAATATCTCAGCTATGCCAGAATATAAAAATTTTTCATTTGAAGAATTAAGATTACAAGATTATGAACAAGGTAGAAGATATGGAAATCAAGCTGCTGCAGGTGGATCTTCAGGTTTTGGAGCCACTTCTTCTTCACCATTTGGTGCATCAACAACTAATAATGCTTTTGGAGGTGGTGGCTTTGGCTCAACAAATAACACATCGGGTGGATTATTTGGAGCAAACAATAATGCTAATAATAACACAACATCAGCATTTGGTTCAAGTGGTGGATTTGGATCTACAAATAACACTGCATCTGGTGGCTTGTTCGGATCAAACAACAACAATACTACAGGTTTTGGTGCAACTAACAATAATACCACGGGAGGCTTTGGCTCCTCATTCGGGGCTAAACCATCTGCATTTGGCTCTAATACAAACAGTACTGGTGGTGGTTTGTTTGGCTCATCAAATACAAATACTGGTGGATCACCATTTGGTGCATCAAACACAAATACAGGTGGTGGCATGTTTGGTAATAATAACAATACAACTAATGCTTTTGGCGCATCAAATACAAACACTGCAGGGGGTCCTTTTGGTAGTACCAATAATACTCAACAAAATGCAGCTTTTGGTGCTTCATCTTCAAGCCCGTTCGGCTCAAATAACCAATCAAAACCTGCTTTTGGTGGTGGATTTGGTTCTAATAATAATGCGGGAACTTCATCATTTGGTAGTGGGTTTGGCTCAAATAATAACAGTTCAACTACTGGTGGTGGTCTTTTTGGTAACAATAATAACAATGCTACATCAGGAGGGTTATTTGGTGCCAAACCTTCAACACCAGCTCCAGCACAAAACACAGGTGGATTATTCGGTGCTAAACCTGCTGCATCCGGGGGTGGTTTGTTTGGTAATAATACTAGCAACACATCTGGGGGAGGATTATTTGGCTCAAATAATAATAATAATAGTAACACAACAGGTGGGGGTTTATTTGGTGCAAAACCGGCTGGCTCAACAGGGTTTGGTGCAACAAACACAACTACACCAAGCACTGGTGGTGGATTATTTGGTGCAAAGCCTGCTGGAAATACTACAGGTGGTGGATTGTTTGGAAACACTAACAATAACACTGCTTCTACAGGATTTGGTAGTGGATCTACTGGTGGTGGACTATTCGGTAGTAATAATAACGCTACTACTAATGCTTCTACTGGCTTTGGAAGTGGAACCACTGGTGGATTGTTTGGAAATAACAACAACAACAACACAAATAGCACATCCACAGGATTTGGAAGTGGAACAACTGGTGGATTGTTTGGTAATAACAATACCCAACAACAACAATCAGGATCTTCATTATTTGGGGGGTCTCAAACTGGAGCTAAACCATCATTATTTGGAGGAAACCAGCAACAGCAGCCACAACAACAACAATCTGGGCTTTTTGGAGGTAACCAACAACAGCCACAACAGTCAAGCTTATTTGGAGCACCACAAAATCAACAACAATCCTCTTCATTATTTTCACAACCTCAGCAATCTCAACAAAACGGTGGGTTATTTGGATCTGCACAAAACCAACAACAACAACAACCAGGTCAACAGCCTTATCAATTGGTTGCAACTATTGATCAAAATCCATATGGAAATAATCCATTATTCAACTCAGGTGCTCAAAACAATGTTGTTAGTACAACCCCATCTGTTGGACCAATGGCCAAGCCTGTTAAAGTCGAACCAAAGAAACAAAAAATTACAAACATTTATAGATTAGCACCAAAACCATTATTTGTGGCTAAAAAGGACATTGGTAAGATTAATGGTGTAAATGGTAATGGTACTGGTGTTTCAATTAACAATACAACATTACAACTGATTGGAACGGGGGATAACACAAAGAATGCGTTCTTCAATCAAAATACAGATGATGCTATCTTAGCAAGCGAAATCTTCACACCAAGAAAGAATTATAAGAATTTAGTAATTGATAGATCAAGATCAAGATCAAGAGAACCATTAGAAACTTTGGGTGAATATAATGATAATAGTTTGACACCACAAAAAGTGATTTCTTTCAATACTACTAATAACAATGATGAAAATAAGGTTAACAATAAACTTTTGTTCAAAACTGAAGAATCAAAGAAAAATGGTGAGAAACTTGAAGATGCTAAGGGTGAAAATACAATTTTGAATGAGGCTTCAAAGAAACCAATTATCCAAACAAGAGATGAAGATACAACAGCTGTTGATGAAGAAGGATATTGGATGTCACCAAGTTTGGAAGAATTGGAGAAATTATCATTATTGGAATTGCGAAAAGTTTCTGATTTTACTGTTGGTCGTAAAGGTTATGGTAAGATTGAATTTTTAAAACCAGTTGATTTAACTTCAGAATCTTCATTAGCAAGAATTCCAGGTGAAGTTGTCGTTTTCATGAGACAATCATGTATTGTTTATCCAGATGAATCTGAAAGACCTAGCAAGAACGGTGAAGGTTTCAATTTACCTGCTAAAATCACACTGGAAAATTGTTACCCAATTGCCAAAGATACGAGACAACCAGTTAAAGATGCTTCGCATGATTTGGTGAAGAGGCATATCAATAAATTGCACAATATTCCAAATACTAAGTTTGTTTCTTATGATGTTAAAACAGGTACGTGGTCATTCACAATTGAATCAACAGTTTGAATCTGATGTATATAGGACATTTTCATATAAGGTGTTTCTCATCCCTAAATTCGTGTGCAGTAATGTATAAAGAAATTGACAATAATTGCATTGAAAGGTTATAATCTAATTTTCCCTCGTGATGAAATGTGACAAAAAATTCTCAAAGTAGTAATTTCGTTTCCAGTTATTCAGTATCGTTACCATGGTTACATACTTAACTAAATGTTCTAAACTTCCATAAATTGAGCCCAACCTTTTTGAAACTAATGAATTATGAAGCTATTTTTAATTAATAAACCATTATTCTATTTTATAGTCTCAAATAGGATTTGAGTACATCTAAATGTACCTATCCAACGAAACATCGTTTAGAAGTACAATTACCGGATTGGGATTTATGGCAGAATTATCACTCGCTGCAAATACAATACCAAGAATTTAACGTCGAAGATTATGGATTACAGAGATTTTAAATACAGCCAATTCTCTTTAATTCCTTCTTCCTGTTGTATTGTAATTACGGCCTTCACGCCTTTATATCAATCAATCTTGTACAAAAATGCTTCCAGCCGGTGTTATCTTAGTTTTTGTTTTAGTTGGTTTAGTTGGTGAGTTTTGATGTCAAATTTCGAACTTGTATCTTTCCTAGTTCTTCATTTGGACCAATCTGCAGGAAGGAAAGTTTTGGAGTTTTGGAACCTTATATACTAAAAAATCTATAACAGCTTTAGCTATCATTGTTATCCAAGCTATGAATTTGTTGAAAAAAAGAAGAGCTGCTTTACAAGCTTTCTGATTTCTCAAGTATCTAACAATGTATCAAGGTGAAAAAGCAGCAATTGGTTTGCATCAAATATAGTCGTTTTGTTAGTGATCAAAGTATTTGGAACTTGGTCCACTATGATTGATTGAGTAGTTGAAGGTCATTTGGGTTTGATCTTTGACATTCCTGTTATTGTTTTATTAAAGTGTTGATAAATGCGGTTTTTGTGATAGATCTTCAGCAATGTAGTATTAAGAATCTCCGGGACTTTAAAAATTCAGTCTAATCCATTAGCATTCATCAATACCATTGTAGTTCAGTAACTTCAACCACTTTGTATGTTTTCTACCTTTTGCAAATATTTTCGGTCGCGCTTCCGCATCCGGTAATCTCTCCGAAATGTGTGTGGCCCATTTCACTCACGTGACCCGTCTTTTTCAAGACTTTTTCCCCTTTCAACAATTTTTGCTGGTTTTTACCTTTTTTACCCTTTTCATCACCTTTTGATAACAATCAACAACAACAACAGTTCAGCCCAAAACACAGCTACTGAAGTACACAACTGGTCAAAGTAAGTATATGAAATGCAATAGATGAATATAGCACAGTTCCAAATCCCTATACACCAAATATCAGGCAAACAAACGGCTTTTAGAGCTGTCAATTTCAATCGCATTTGATTTTTTTCCTCCCAAAGCTTCAACCAAAAAGGTGAACTACCCCTTTGGGACAGCCAAATGATTACTTGAGCTCATCGCCTATTACCACTTTAGGTCTTCAACCTTCAAAACTCAACATCATCAATCATCATGAATGTGATTCCATTCGATCCAACCACTTTTATCATCAATTGCCACCCATCATTCTTCTCAATTCCTTGCTCGTTCACCCCCTTTAATTTTCAGTCGCTTGTTCCAGGTTTTTTTTTGTATGGGAGAGAAAACTGAAGAACTATGTGGTAACCAGGACAACTGATAAAACCACAACAAAGAAGGAAGAATAAAAAAGGTTTCAATAATGGATTAACTGTGCTCTATTTCATTCTTTTTCATATCTTTATAGAGTATTATACTAACAAATTGCTAGAATGTCTGAAATCACTGAACCAAAGCTTGATGATAACCAAGAAGACTTGGTTGATAACAATCAATCAATTCAAAACACCACAAACCCAAATGAAGATTTAGATGATGATGATGAAAAACCTTCATCTGCTAGAGAAAGAAGAAAAATTGAAATCAGATTTATTCAAGATAAATCAAGACGTCATATCACTTTCTCTAAAAGAAAAGCTGGTATTATGAAAAAAGCCTATGAATTATCAGTTTTGACAGGTACTCAAGTTTTGTTATTAGTTGTTTCAGAAACAGGTTTAGTTTATACTTTCACCACACCAAAATTGCAACCGTTAGTTACTAAACCTGAAGGTAAAAATCTAATCCAAGCTTGTCTAAATGCTCCAGAAGAATCAGGTGAAGATGAAGAAGCTTCTACTCCAACTAATTCAACTTCACAACAATCCCAAAACCAACAAGCTACACAACAACAGCAAGCAGCTCAACAGCAAGCCTCTCAACAACAAGCTCAAGCACAACAATCTCAACCTCAACAACAGCAACACCCAAATCAACCTCCAGCAGGTTCTGGATATCCTCAACAACCTGGTTTACAAAACTTACCTCCAAATTCTGGCTACTTGAATCCAGAACAAGCTGCTGTTTACCAAACCTATTTTGGTAACATCAATAATCAACAAGGTCAATATTAAAAAAAAAGCTAACGTTTGATGCTATTACCTTCATGGTAATTGGCTTAAAATACATTACACTATACACTTTTATATGAGATACTACAGCTTTTTTTTTCAGTGGTGATTTTGTTTTGCGGTGGTTTTTATTCAGGGTTCTTTTTTTTTCTCTCATTTATGATATCTTTTTCTATCTCCTTTTTTATGCTGTCTATATGCTTTTTTGTCTTTTCCTTCTTACTATTATTTCTTATGTACCATAATTAAACGTTCAATTTTGAAATTTATCAAGTGAAAGATTGTCAAGTAGACTTCAAGTTTGGACTTGAAGAAATCACCATTCGCGACCAGAAAGATGAATGTGCTCGAAAAAAATGTCAGGAACACGAAAATTGAAATCAAGAATCAAAACTCCAGTATTGACAATCGAAACAATCACCAATTCGACGAAGAAATTAGATCAATAATGAGTGCTGAACCGTCAGATCCACCAGTAACAGATAATTCTGAAATTGCTTCGGCTGCTATTGCAGAAAAACCTGAAGAATCAACACCAGCTCTTCCAACTTCAGATGATCAAGAACCTGCCCCAGAAACTGAACAATCAGAACCATCACAAACTGATGAGAATGCATATGGATCCTTCCCTCCAGGCACCATAGTTCTTGGTAAACTAAAGAGCTTCCCACCTTGGCCAGGTATTGTTATCCCATATGAATTAGTTCCTGAAGGTGTTAATAAAAGCAAACCAAAGCATCCAACTCAACCCCGTCCATCAAAGAAGAAGAACCAACATAGTGATAAACCAATTGATACAAGATTATGGTGTGTGAGGTTTTTGAGAGACGATACTTATATGTGGGGTGGTGTCAATGAAATTTCATTATTGACTAAGGAACAAATTGAAAAATTCTTGAACGATAAAAAGGGTAAGAAATTAATCAAAAGTGCTTATGAAATGGCTCTAAATCCTCCTGATGTGGAGGAATTTATTATTTGGGGTAGTAATGGAAAACCAATTCAGATTGATAATGAAATCAATGATGCAGATTTTGAAGATGAAGAAGGTGATGGACAAAGTTTAGAAGATGATGATGGAGAAGAAGATGAAGACGAAGAAGATGAAGATTTAGAGGAATTAAAACAACCAGTCAAAAAATCAACTAAAAGAGGACGTGCTAAGAACTCTAAAAGTCCCGCAAAGAAACAAAAAACTAGCACTCCAAAAAAGACAAAGGGTAAACCTGGAAGAAAACCTGGGAAAAGAAAATCTCCTGAGCCTGAGCCTGAACCTGAAACTTCATCTGATGAAGACTGGGATGTTGATGATGAAACAGAACCACCAGTTGCAGAAAATATACCATCAGCTAAGCAACTTTCAGATGATTTGAAGAAAAGAACACCATTGATCAAGAAAGCTAGAGTTGTGTTACAAGATTTCTTCTTAGAATCCAAAGAAATTGAAACAGATGTTAAGTCTTTGAAACAAGTCAATACAATTTTAGACTCATTAGAAAAAATCCCTGAAGTTCAATTATCACTAGTCAAACATTACAGTTTGCATAGAGTGATGTTTGATATTTTGAAAAGACCTGATCTTATTGATATAAAAGATGTTAAAAAAATGAGAGAAAGAATTTCCAAGCTGGTTGAAATTTGGTTTGATACAGTTATTGAGCCTACTGAAAACTGGAATTTCGAGGAAAAGGTTGAGGAAATAGAAGAGAACAATGGAGAATTGAAAGAAGAAAATGGTAAAGAGGAAAATTCATTACAAGAAGAAGTGAAGGAAAATGGTGTTAAAGAAGAGGAAACAAGTGAACCAGTTGAAGCATAAAGACCTTGTCTTTTCAAAGTACATGTATAATAGTTATTTTCAAAAGCTTTGTTATCAACAGTTGTTATGTATTTTTTGTTTGCACTCGAGATTGACAGATTTTGATCCATGCTATACTGGTATTTGTTCATTGTTAGTGAAGTACATAAAAAAGGGCAATATTATCTCTTTGTGCAAGTATTCTGGAAGCTTGCTTGGCCCCGGATCACATTCAGCAATTACTCTTGAGCCTATTCCTAACATCATGCCAGAGGTAGTTGATCAACTTGCAGAAGATGTTGAACATGATCTACTTTATACTATCGAATTTATGGGTAATCTAGCTTACTGCACGATCATATCTATATCTGCTTTCCAAATAATTTTAGCAACTTTTATATTCGAGTTCCTTGCCTTTATTAAAGCGGCCTATTAATGTGAAAGCCTTGGATATGATGAATACATAGAGCTAACATTTTTCAATATCTCCATGATGCTTGAAAGTTGAGGTCGCATTGGAAGCCGCCGACCAAGTTAACCGATTACACAGCGAGTAATTTTAAAATAGCTTCAATGAAAAGGCAGAATATTGCTATATTGATAACCTAAATATTACTGATGGACATCTGTGATTGGTGAGAGAAGGTTGTTTTTTTTGCCCGATCATGATATTGAAGCTCTCGGGCCATGCATATTATCAAATTCCACATAACCAAAAATATCATTTAAAGCACAGCCAACAACAAAACAAGAAAAAGAAACAGTCAGTCTTATAAAGGAGAAGCCATATATTCAGGAAATGATAAAAATAGAGCCAAAAAAATGGGTTTTGCCGGCAAAAAAATAAGAAGTTTGCGATTTCTGTGGATTGAACACAGGACCTTTAGATCTTCAGTCTAACGCTCTCCCGACTGAGCTAAAACCGCTTCTTGTTGACAGATAAATTTTTGGGATCAACACGACAGCTAAAATTTGTTGCCCGAACCAACATTTCGATAGCGGATTTTATCGGTTTTTTTTTATCCTTGGTTTAATTTACAAAAATCAATTTGATGCAACGTGAGTAACTTTTAATCAATTTGTCATCCCTCAATTGTTGGAACGCCTATATAAAGCTAGGTAAATTTCCAATTAAGCCATTCTGGAATTGGTATCTGGGTTGGTAATTTCCAATTGAATATATCTGTGGTGCGATTGATAAACAAAATCAAAAATGAGTGAACAACAACAACTAATTGAATGGAAAAGATTAGGCAAATCTGGTTTAAAGATTTCTAAAGTCATTGTGGGATTCATGTCCTATGGTACCAAGCACTGGGCAGACTGGGTTGAGGATGATGAAGAAAAGATTTTCGCCATCCTAAAGAAAGCTTATGATTTGGGTATTAGAACTTATGATACTGCTGATTTTTATAGTAATGGTTATTCAGAAGTTATCTTGGGTAAATTTTTGAAAAAATTCAACATCAAAAGAGACAAGGTTGTTATTTTAACAAAAGTGTTTTTCCCAGTTGATGAAGATGTTGATCTAAGACATAGTGGAGTTGGTCCTGGTGTCAATCCTTTAGATTTGATCAACTCAAAGGGGTTATCAAGAAAGCATATCATTGATGGTGTTGAAAATTGTGTGAAAAGGTTAGGTACCTATATTGACGTTTTACAAATTCATAGATTAGATAAAGAAACTGAACCTGAAGAATTCATGAGAGCTTTGAATTTTGTCGTTGATCAAGGTCTGACAAGATATATTGGTGCGTCCTCAATGAAAGCCACTGAGTTTGTTGAATTGCAATATATCGCCGAAAAACATGGATGGCATAAATTTGTTTCAATGCAAAACTATTACAATTTGTTATATCGTGAAGAAGAACGAGAAATGATTCCATATTGTAACAAATCTGGTGTTGGTTTGATTCCATGGTCTCCAAATGCAAGAGGTATATTAACAAGACCATTATCTAAAACCACTGAAAGAATCAAAAGTGATCCAACTTTTAAATCATTAGGTCTTTCTGAGTTATCTGGGCCTGATCAAGAAATTGTTAATAGAGTTGAAAAAGTTGCTAATGATAGAGGTGCTTCTTTTGCTATTGTTTCCACAGCTTGGGTCATTAGTAAAGGTGCTTCGCCAATCATTGGCCTCAACAGTGAAGCTAGGGTCGAGGAAGCTGTTGCAGCTAGTCATTTCATTCTTACAGAGAAAGAGATTAAATATTTGGAAGAACTTTATCAGCCAAAGAAAGTTGTCGGGTTTTCTTGAATTGACAATTTGTTTTTCGTGTGAAGTACTGTTTTAGTGAATCCCATCACTCAGTTTTATGTATCAGCTCTCTCAAATCCTATTGCTTGTAGAAGTATAGCACCTAAATAACTTGAGGTGCCACTAAAAGCCACAACTCCACAATCATTCGAAATCGAGGAGGTGGAAATCTTTTCAAAATACACATGTGAGCTCTAACTTGCATTTGATGTGAACAAATCAAATGCTTAAGCTTGTCCATTGATTGAACCAGACTGCTCAAAAGCTCTGAATCCTGAATCCAGCACTTATTCGTTAAAACTTTCGGAATTCCATAACCAATGTCAAGTCGACGGTTTTAAGGGACGCACAACTACAGCAAATCAACACAAGCTAGCTTTCATTTCCCAATATAAGCCCTTTTATCGATTTGTAATTTGTAATAGACAATCGTCTCTTTCAATGGGTGGTTATTCCGCTTTTACTCATTTCATCGTTTATATAACCATTTTGGGTAGTGGCCTTCATAAACTCGCCATTATCTCCGTCCTCGTGATATGCAAATCATACTAACTTGAACACTATAAAAGGAGAGAAATCTCCTCTAATGCTCTTTCTTTTAAATCAATCAATCAACTAGTGTTTTAAAAGGAAAAGAAACTACAAATATGAGTGATCAACAATTAATTGAATGGACAAGATTAGGTAAATCTGGTTTAAAGATCTCCAAAATCATCATTGGATTCATGTCTTATGGTTCAAAGAAATGGGCAGATTGGGTTGAAGATGATGAAGAGAAAATCTTTTCAATTCTAAAGAAAGCTTATGATTTAGGTCTTAGAACTTATGACACAGCTGATGTTTATAGTAACGGTTATTCTGAAGTTATTTTGGGAAAGTTCTTAAAGAAGTATAACATCAAAAGGGATAAAGTTGTCATTTTAACAAAAGTTTTCAATCCAGTTGATGAAGACTTGGACCTAAGACATGGTGCTCGTGGCCCAGATGTTAAAGATGTTGACTTAATCAATTCTAAAGGGCTATCAAGAAAACATATATTCGATGGTGTTGAAAATTCTGTCAAGAGATTAGGTACCTATATTGATGTTTTACAAATTCATAGATTGGATAAGGAAACAGAGCCTGAAGAAATTGTTGAAGCATTGAATGATGTTGTTGACCAAGGTCTTACAAGATACATTGGTGCTTCTTCAATGAGAGCTACTGAATTTGCTGAGTTACAATTTACAGCTGAAAAAAATGGATGGCATAAATTTATTGTTGTTCAAGATTTATACAACTTACTATATCGTGAAGAAGAGCGCGAAATGATTCCTTTCGCTAAAAAGCATGGGGTTGGTATTATACCATGGTCTCCAAATGCAAGAGGTGTATTGACTAGACCATTATCGGAAACTTCAGAAAGACATAAATCTGATCCTCAATTTAAAAATTTGGGATTGAACAACTTAACTGAAGAAGATAAAGAGATTGTGAACAGAGTTGAAGAAGTTGCTAAAAAACACAATGTTTCACAGGCTATTGTTGCAACTGCTTGGGTTTTAAGTAAAGGCACCTATCCAATTGTCGGATTAAACAGTGTCGCAAGAGTGGAAGAAGCTGTTGTTGCTTCTCATTTCAAATTAACTGAGGATGAAATTAATTACTTGGAGGAGCCATATAAGCCAAAGAAAGTAGTTGGTTTTGCTCAATAGTCAGTTCCAAGCTATATATTAATATTTAAATATTAATTGTTATATTAATTTTATTATAAATTGACAGCAGGCGCAGCTAAAACAAATTATTCAATATATTGTCGACCTTTAATGTAATATATAAGGTCATTATATATATCATGCGGTACTACTAGCTCATCTACTGTTAGATAATTAAATATATTATAAATTTATATAAAATTTTGATCAACCTGCAGCTGCTTAGAGGATGTACAGTATTATATTAATAATATTAAGCTGGATCATCAGGTGCAGCTTGTTATGATATCATATTGGTCTAGCTGATCACGTACGTACTCTGCGCCAATGATATTATCATATAATACGTCGTCATAATTTAATTCAAATATAATATATTAATCAATATTCTTGCACAGCTAGCTATCTAAACATTATTATAAAAGCTCTTGATAATTAGTTATATATATTATAACATGACGTCGACGTCCACTTAAATATAATTACATGATCTATATCACAATATATGAATAACGTGATATATCCCAAAAATTGATCCAGTCCTCATGCCCCAGCCATAATATAACTAGTATTAGTTGTAATTCGGCGCATCAGAATATGATTAATTAATATATATATTATGATATTCTGCATTAAAATCAATCGGCCACATGGCTCACGACTACCATTTTAACAACATTTTGGCCGCTTTTAAAAAAGCACTAAATTTGCGCCTTCCTATGTGGGCTCTACGCACTCCTGGGATCATTTTAATGTTGTTTTATGACCTAAAATCAACAGATAGAATACATACATATTGCACCGGTACGGCCACGCTTTTCGCGAATTTTATTGAAAATTCATGATAAAAAGTGAAGCTTTTCGATTAGAATTAGCATCATTTTACAACTTGCGACAGAACTCAATGTCTCTCATATTAAGTACACATACTTAACAGAATCTAGTCACGTGAAAATGTGGCCGTAACGCCAAAATCCACTCTACAAATCTCCAAATAAAGAAATTCCAATAAAACCATCATAATCAATGATATCCACTCAAATAAACACACAAACCATCACTAAATCATGTTCTACAAATAATTGGGTTCAAAAACACATGTATTTTGGCCTCAAAATACCTATATTAACCCAGTACCACCAAGTAGTAGTTCAATCAACCAACAACAACAATAACAACCACTCAAAACAAACTGACACAACAAAAACCGATGTAGAGAACCTAATCATTAACATCCAAAGCAAACCACCATCTCAGCTAGGCTGATCATAATAAAGCTGTGTAGCTTAATTATATTATCTCTTTGTAGTCATGTATGCACCTCTGCACCTCACTAATTAGAAATATGCCACAAAAACAAAAATTGTTTCTCAAATCCACGATTTTGGGATTTTTAAAAAAAAAATCAAAATGCAATCGAAAAATCGTTTTGGCAACTTTCCATGGCAATTGGTCTTTTGAGAAAATTTCTGTGTTTTTTTCAAAAAGTGCTGAATTGACCATTTTCCCATACAAATTTTTGAACCACCAAAACACAAAATCAACCAATACACCTTTAACATAACCAGCTGTTACCACAAAAGTAGTTCTGTAGACCTATTCAATCATCCAGCTTTTGTTTGGCTTCTAATTATTTTAATTCGAGCGAGCCGAAAGCCAAATATAATACTTTAAGTGGAAATAACAACACACCATATATTCTTACGATTATACTACTATTATGTACAAATATGTTGAGAAACAGTTCATACTACTCAATTTGGAATCCTGTCACGTGACTAAATTTTCAAACGGAAATAACATGAGAACAACATTATATGAAACCAATATGGATAGGATAGGTATTTACACTATGTAACTTCTTAAGTTTATATTAGTGTAATATAATTCATGTTATATTTCACAATTTTTTTTTGATTTTTGAAATTAAAAGAATTTTAACGACGTACCTATCTGTATTTTATAAAACAAATAAGGGTATATTAGCGATTATTAAAAAAGTTTAAATTTTCACCTTAAAATTACATCTATCGTATAGAGAATTGAAGTTTATTGAAGTAACAGAATTTTATGATATATATGATCTAACAAAGTGCTTGGAATAATGCTGCTTGAAGATTTGAATTTCGGGTGGTAGTCGACGACGTTTTTTTTTTATTTTCTCATAGTTAACTTCGGCCGCGAAAACGCGTGCTAACAAATACACAAAGGACAATAAGCACAATATAGAGTGTTCAGTTAGTATGCTGGCCTATTGAAATTGGTACCATTATAATCTTTGGAAGTTGGAGATGACATTGACCTACATTAAAGTATCTTTTTATTTGAAATTGACAAATTGAGACTCGAAAACTAAATCTGTGCACAGTTAAGTATGGCACAAGCTTCGTGTTTGTTCGAATTTTACCCAAATGTTTTCAATCGGGGACTCTTTTTAAAGCTTAGAGGCCGTAGAATTTAATGGTGCTATTTATTTGCTACAATTTATTACAATCAGATAGTTTTTTCCTTTTGTTTTAATTAATGTTGTTCCTATGCATAAGACGCCTTTTTAAATTTCTATGTACATGTAAACAAGTAAGCTCACCATCAAAACAACCATGGCAACGCAATAAAAACCAAGGCAACGCAGTACAACAAACAACCACGTCGACCAATTGGAAATTGGATAACAATATTAGGCCACTCGATGGTCATTCCAACTTCCAAGGATACGTGATTAAAGGACCGACTCCTTTTCCTTTCTTCTTTTGTTGCTTTGATAACACATAGATGATAGTATAACCAAGTTTTATACCCTAAAACTTAACAATGCAAGTTCCATAACCCTTTTTACTGAGCATGCATTACTAACACAGTAACCAGAGATGCAGATGAGCTGAAGGGTTGCTTCAATGTGAACATTGTGAGTGTATGAATGACTTTGCAAAACAGAACGACTTTCAATTCAGGTTGAATAATAAGCTGGTTAAACAATAATTATGACAAAAACATTTTAACTGTTTGAAGTGAGTTGATCATTTGATTTGATAACAAACTATAAGTTAAAAAGTTGTTGATATCAATTGATTAATTGAGGTGAGTATTGATCAATTTTAGTTGAAAATTTCATGAGGCACGGAAGCCTGTTGATTTGAATTCAGGCAGGTCTTAGACGTGAGTATTTAACTGGCATTCCAAATAACATTTGAAGAGTTTAATGCTTATAATCAAAGTCAACTAACTTCTCTAGTTATATATTTAGAAAGGATTTGATTCCACAGCAAATATCGTCAAATCTTGAGTATTTAACTGGCATTCCAAATAACATTTGAAGAGTTTAATGCTTATAATCAAAGTCAACTAACTTCTCTAGTTATATATTTAGAAAGGATTTGATTCCACAGCAAATATCGTCAAATCTTGAGATCCAGTCCGCCAATTAGTAACGTGCCAATAGCCATTATTACGTCATTCTGGAGAGACTAACACTTGAGTTGAATTGTACCCTTAAGTGTCTTTTTATTATCCAATGAAGGGGTTTCAAGAAAGCAGATATTACTATTCAGCCACTTAATTGTATTGAGTAAGATTGTTTGTATAACTTTTTAATCAATTGTACTTGAAATTTGTGTATATGTACTACAATACTTCGAAGCCAAAAGCTTTAAGCGAAGAACGTTTATCAAAGTTCGAAACTTTGAAGTTTGTGTCACTTCTTGCAAATCTATCAGAAACTTCTACTGTATCTAGCACAATGAACATTAAATACATGATAAGAATTTGACCGGAGCTATATTGATCGTTATAAAACATTGAAGTTAACGATATCGACAGTCCATGAGTCTATACAGGCCGAAATATAAACTCTACAGACCATGATATAACAAACAGAACCTTCAAGATGTAATAACGTCCAAAGATCAATCTGATGCAAATTAACTTCTGTCACCAAAGAATCAAGTGACATGATCATCACAAGTCTGAATTATACGTTGTTTGCTGTTGTTTGAGAGATTCAGTGGCATTTACGGGGATCTAACTTCATATCCGTCGATGCTCACTTCTCAAAACAATAACTATTGTCAAATGCTGCCAATTATTTGATTGCTAGTATACTTGTCTAATAAAGCTTCTACCGAGAGGCAAAGAATTATGGAATTCAAATTCTTCTGACTAGTGTAGATTCCACAAGGTCTCGGTGAACTCTGGGCAGCGTACTTCAGCTCAGCCCAAGGGCTAAGCTAGAAACTAGGCGGAGGCTTCTCTACGTCCCCTGGAATATTCTCTGCCTAGCCCCCACCCTGCCCCCTGGCTTCTGGTTGCCTTCCGCATTGGGAGTAAATTGTATGGAGCATGTGGGACGTACCGGTTTCTTCCAAGAAGCGAGAAAAAAAGGCACCAGCATTTCATATCGAATTCAACAAAACACAACGTCAACATCATCAACTTCACCAACTACAAATCTGGAGCCCCAATTGAACTGGTGACAAAAATCAGCACTCCATTTGCAGACTACGGTCCACCGCTCATATTCTTTCATCGTTTTCTTTGCTTTTCATCCTTGCCGCCATTCTGCTTTTAACATTTCCCTTGCAACCAGCTTGAACATATACCCCCAGTTATCATTATCAACAAGTGTTCTCAGATGTCCAGAAACGGTACAATGTCATCCAATATATCCAACCAAGCTTACCAGCAGCAGCAACAACATAATTTGCAGCAGTTGCAGAACCTGGAGAATAACTACAACAACTATCAACAATCAAAATCTTTTACTAGTTCAGATAGTCGAAACAGAGTCATTGCGGAAGTATTGAATCCAAACTCCAACGGCGCTCAAATTTCAGAAGGTCAACAAGCCCAGTACCAACAACCAAATAATTTGAACCCTCGTACTGATTCATTCAATTCAAATGTGCAACAACAACAGATACAACCAAGAGCTCAACATCAACACTCACAATCAAGAAATATCACTGCTTTAGCTCCAAATCAAAGCCATTCCACTGGAAACGATCCAAGGTTGCCTTTCACTGTTCAAGTTCCAACAAAAGCTAATCCAACAGAGGTTCTTGCTTCGAGATTTGCTGCTTGGAGGAGTATAATTACTTCTTTGTTACAATATTTGACAGAAATTGTTAGCATTCAAGATGAAGTTGTTCGCCAACAAATCAGGCTATCTCATGCTGTGAACTTTACCGCTTTTCAAGAGAAAAAATCTCAAGCACAACCTGGTTCTGGAGGACAACAACATGGCGATGAGACTATACATCAAAACTTCTTCTTACCTGCTGGAAATGGTTCTATTCACGATTTACCAAACATTTTAATCAATTACCATTCAAGTGCTGCCAATTTAGCTTCAAAATCTTCAAAAGAACTAAACTCCAATGTTATCCCAAGATTAGATGATTTGAGAAGAGAATTGTTGGTTAAAATTAAAGAAATCAAAAGTTTAAGTTCAGATTTCAAAAACAATGTCGTTAAAGAAGTTGGTCAAACTAAAATTGATTTGCAACACTTTATAAAATCAGTCGAAGAAGCAAAATATAGTGCACATAATGTTCAACCTAAGAATGATCCTTACTTAACCAAAATTACATTGGAAAAACAATTGAAAAGACAATTAGTTGAAGAAAATTATTTACATGAAGCTTATATTAATTTACAAAGTTCTGGTAAAGAATTGGAAAAAGTTGTTGTTGCTGAGGTTCAAAATGCTTTAACCGTGTATGCTAAATTGTTCGGTGAACAAGCTCAAAATGTTTTTGATAAATTGATTTCTAATCTAGATTATGGATTTTTAACAAAACAACCTTCTTTTGAATGGGATCAATTTGTTGCTAAGGATAAAAATTTTATTGATGAGAACTTACCAAAAAGAGATTACAAAGCTATTCAATATGATAAGATGAATGATCCTTTAACTTATGAAGTTCGCTCCTCATTTTTGGAAAGAAGATCAAAATTTCTTAAATCTTACTCAAGAGGTTATTATGTATTGACTGCAACTTTTCTACATGAATTCAAGACTGCTGATCGTAAGAAAGATCTGTTACCAGTGATGTCTTTACCTTTGGATGATATTGAATTGGAGGAACATTCTAAAAAAGAGACAAACCAATACAAATTTGTTTTGAAAAAGGTCGGGAAATTATCATCTCATAAGTTTATTTTCCGTGCTGAAAGTTATGATTTGATGCTTGCTTGGTATAATGATATCAAAAACTTGAAAAATTTATCAAGTCCAACAAGTAGAGGTGTTTATGCCTCAAAACATCATACTGCTAAAAGTCAAATTTCAAGAGTTAGCACAAATAATTCAAGAGTCGTTAGACCTTCTTCGATTAACGATTCTACACATGAAACTGACACCATTTTATCAGTTCCAAATAACAATCAATCATTACCTCAACAATCATCAACCCCCATTCCACAATCAATGATTGGACCAGACGGTGTTTTCTATAAACAAATTGGTTCTTCTGGTGATTTACAAACTCCACAACAGATTCAAAGACAATCTTTACCACCAAGTGATTATCGTCAGCAAACTCCTCCACAACGTTTTTCATTACAATATCCTCCACAACAACAACAGCAACAACAACAACACGTTCAGCAAGCTTCTCCATATCCTACTCAACCACCATTTTCAGATCCTCAAAACTTACCTCTACAACAGCAACAACAGCAACAACTATACAGTGTTCCTCAAGAGCATTACCTTTCAACACCTGCTATGTATGTTGAAGCTCCAACTCCATTGATGAACAATATCCCAAATAGTCCTCAACCAACTGCAAACATGAAATTTAGAAATTCTTTGGATTCTTATCCTGGTGTTAATAGAGTCCCAACTAATTTTGAAGCAGATGGAAGTGGATTATCAGAAGAAACTGCTAAAACTGCCAAAAAGGAAACACATACAGGTGAAGAACACTTTGGTCAGTACTTGCCAAATAATCAAAGACTAGGATCTGTTGACTCTGGTGATAACAAGATCATGCAAAACCAGTTTCGTACAGTGAATTTGAACCAAAATAAATCACCTTTACAACAAAGTATTAATGGTGATGGTCATTGAATATGAATGATGTTTTTATTTAAATTTCTTGAATTGAAAGAATAGCCATCAAGTTTGTTCTTCAATCGCGTTGAAACTTTCCGTTCTTTATTATGTTATCAAGATTCATTTATGCTCTCTTCAAGAATATTTGCCCTTAATTTTTCTATTTCATTTTATTTTATTCTGTCATTGTGTTTTTATTGTTCCTTATTTTGTTTTTTATTCCTTTTTCACATCCATATGAGCATACCGATATTTTGTATTATTTTTTGAATCTACATTATTAGACATTGATTTTAACATTCTTTTATTTGATGAGAAGGTGAAAACTGTAGCTTAATTATCTATGGGTTTTGGGAATTGAACACAATTGATTTCAAAAACCCCAATATCAATGCAAAAATTAATGAATTTCTAAGTAAATGTGATGGTTTTTGTTTCTGTTCAGGAGTTTCAACTTTATTAATCACTTTAGTTATCCAGTCTTTATCAAAAGTTGCATCAGAAAACTTGTTTAATACACATTCTTTACCTCTTGATGTTATCTCTAATTTTTCTTCGTCTGTTAAGTTTGTAGCTTCTAAAAATGCTTCAGATAAAGAAGGATATAATGATTTATCCTTGAAATTGGAATAATCAGGATCGGTTTCACTTTTAAAGAAAAACCCAGTTCTATTCTTTATACTATGATCTTTGACTTGTTTTTTCAATTGAGAATCCCAAGGAACAACAATATCTAATAATGGACCTGCACTTGCATGAACTATTGGAATCAACCCACTAGCGACATATTCAACAACTGCAATACCGAAATGTTCATTCCACATGGCATTAAGGCCAAATGATGAAGCTCGAAGGTATTCTTTAATGACCTCATATTTAGCATCCAAGATGAATTCAATATTCTTTTCAGGTATTTCAAGTTTATTTGCCTTCAATTTAAGCTCTTCAACATAATCGTTATCAGCTTGACCTCTTATTGAACCAATCAAGACTAACTTTGGTGGATGGGAAGAATAATGTGAATTATCTAAAAATCTTTTATATTCTTCAATTATTAAACCATGTCTTTTTTCTGGACGGAATTGAGCGATACACACAATAATGTTTTTTCTATCCCAGTGAGTTGGAGTTTTTGACTCAATGAATTTTTCTGTAGAACAAGGTGGATATACTATACTAATATTCTCATTTAAAAACCAAATATTTTTGATATGATTATAAGTCCATGTTGAATTTGTTAAGGTGATATCAACATAAGAGCCAACAAATGTATAAATAAACATGAAAATTGACCAATAGAAATATTTCAAAAGCTGCTTTAGACCAAAGATTGATGTTAATGATATATCCAATTTACCCAACATATCTTTTGAAATGACAGGATAATGAACATAAGCCACAATTGGAACACCAAGCAAGTAATGGATTAAAGGATATGTGAAAGGGTATCCCATTGTTTCCACCCATATATCTGGCTTATATAAACGCGCAGCTTCATAAGCTAAAACCAAGGATCCAAATGCTTGACCTAGTAATGTTAAGAATGGCCATGTTTTAGGGTCAACTAGATATCTTTTCTGTAGGAACTTGAATTCAACACGTGAATTATCTAGTTTAATATCAAATCTTTTCACGACATTTTCTAAAATCTCTTGACTTGTTGAATCAACATCACCGGTATAAATCACAATTTTATCATTTGGATTCTTGTCTAGTGTTGATTGAACTGCAGCCCAAAGCACTCTTTCACCACCACCACCGGCATTACAGTACGGATGAAAAAAGCCGTATACTTTGCCCTTTGGCAATTCCTTTGTAGACATTGTGAAAGCTGGTTATAACAATGTCAATCTAAGGATCAAATCATCAAGTCTTCGCTGTTCAGTTTTTTTGTTTTGTTGTTTCGCGAATGTTATCGGTTATTGTCAGGTATTACATAACCAGAATAACCAATTATGCACAATTCATCAATACTCAACATTTCACATCAACTATAAGAAGAATCAAGAATCCACTAATTGTAACATTATATGTATATTAATAGAACATCGGAATTACCTTATATACACACAGTAGAGGATATTCTGTCAGGTTAAAACCACGAATAAAATAAAACAAGTGATCATTAAATCAACATCAACTAGAAACAATGGCTGTCACAAGAAACTCCAATAGAAGAAACACCTCTTCAACCTCTTCAACCTCTTCAACCTCTTCAACAACTAGAGTAACCAAAACCAGAAAACCAGCCAGAAAAACCAAGGCTAATCCTCGTGTTACAGCAATTGAAAACAATATTTCTGCATCACATGCTGCATCAACATCTGAAAACACACCAAACTCAACCACTTCAGAAGAAAATTTTTCAACAAATGGTGTTCAACAAGCTGCATTATCTGCACAAAATGAAAATTTT